CATTTAAAAACTAGAATTTGACCAGTGTGCTCCAATTTTATTGGAAATGTCTAGCTCAGCTGCCCTAACTACATCTACAGACAGCAATTTGTCACCATTCTGACTACCTGTCATAATCTATTTGAGAAAAAATCTATAATTTTCTCTTGTTCCTGACTGAATTGTGAAGTGAATGAATTAATCTTTTTTGATATCTTCTTGTCATAATCAATACTGGCCAGAGGTTGAATAAATTAAAGATTCTGAACATACTGATGGTTTAATACAGGTTTTTTCAGCTGTATTTTCTGTATCAAATATAACATTTACATAGACATTAGGTCATATTTTTCTCAAAATAAATGTTTCTAGATTTAAGTTTTTATAAAACTATCAGAATATTTCTAGCACTTTGTAAAGTTCTAACTGAAGCAGTTTTTTCTTAAACACACAAACATTCCTTTCAGTATTTGCACTCAAACATAACCAAACAGCATCCTGGTGGTGTGTGAGAATCCAACTAGAAACAAAAGTGAAATTGGCTTGTCTATTTTTCTTGTTCAGACACGGAGAAATGAAAAAAGCAAACAAGCAGACACAGGAAAAGTAAATTAGATTTTTAAAAAATATTTCATTTGGAAGAATCCCAGGTGTAACTGAAAATTTAGATAAAAAGAGCTTTTAAAACATGTGGTTATATCTCAACAGTGCGGCTGCTGTTAGTAAAAGGCATGTTAAGCACACAACTTATAATTTAGCCAATTTAAAAAAAAAAACAGCTACACATAGTTTCATGCACTGTATACAAAGCTGGCTCCCTCCTGCTAGTATGGATGGTTTTATAACATTTTCTTATTCTTAAAAATGATTTTCTTTTCTCTGTTGCTGTGTCAGAACACTCACAAAAAATATGAAGCTGACTAATTAGCTAACTACACTTAAGAAAGAGAAAGCCTGTCAAATAATCCAAATAAATATAGAGAATATAGTTTTCTTTAACCTCAGTTATTTGAATATTAGGTATTACTTTTATAACTCCATGTAGAAAATGTTCAGATGGAAATGTGAATTTTAAATCAAAGTTGTCCTTAGGTTTTAGCTTGTGTGTTGTTTTTATTTTCAGCTTCCTGGAATCAGAATATAGTATGCTCTTAAAACAATAGTTGGTTGGCAAGAATTAAATACAATTACTGTATCTAAAGTTTTTCTATTAAATTTCCTTCAGTGTAATACAGACTACACTTGATTATTCAAACCTCTTTTAGCAGAAGCAGGGTCATGTTCTTTGTTTTGTCTATTAATGAAGCTGAAATATTTCGTAATTGTCCCAAACCTCAAGTATGTGAATTTATTAGTGTTAATACTCAATTCTTTAAGATCACACTCAGCAAAGGTGCAGGGTTGGATTTATTATGCTGCCATAACAAAACTGAAATAAAATTTTATGTTCAAAGAAAAAGATAATTGATATAGTTATACTGGACAAACCTCATAAACAGTGTGAAGGATGATAGAAATGTAGCCGTGTTAGACTGGGGTAGCTGAAGCAAAATGCAGGACAATGTAGCACTTTAAAGACTAACAAGATGGTTTATTAGATGATGAGCTTTCGTGGGCCAGACCCACTACCTCAGATATGATCCTTTTGATCTGAGGAAGTGGGTCTGGCCCACGAAAGCTCATCATCTAATAAACCATCTTGTTAGTCTTTAAAGTGCTACATTGTCCTGCATTTTGCTTCAGTGTGAAGGATGTACATGAGGTGGTACATGTTCCCTAGTTTTGCTATGCCTTTTACAACTTTTTTTCTCCTACACAGACCACTATTCCATTCCCACTGCCATTTCCCTCTCCTGCAGAGACAACTACATGTTCTCACTGTTGCTATTAAACTTTGCACAATCCTTGATGGCCTTCTAGCTACTGATCCTCTTCTCTGTCATTTCTCTCCACTGCGCAGACTTTTTCACCATCTGCCCATTCTCCTTTGCCCACACAAATTGTTTCCAATTTTTGCCCAAAACATCTAACAATAACTGATGTTCTTATCTGTTCTTCTTGCTGCTTTCCTCTGCTGCATAGGGGGAGGCTACAATTTTAATTTACCACCCAAACTTTTGCACTTTGTTGTTATTTGATTTAAATTATAAATATACAGTAAAGACTTGAGATCTGCTTTACTTTTAATTTTTTTATGTTGAAGAAACAGTGAAAATACACCAGTGAAAAGAAAAGAGTCACTGCTGAGCCTTTTCATAACAAAAGCTAAATAATGACATGCTAATTTATCAAGAATACTGCTAATATGCAGTAATTATTATTAACTTCATTCTGCAGTGGTAACTGAGGCACAGAGGTTCATTTCAAAGACAGTATTGGAACTTATCAGTTAATTTTCACTTCAATTCTGGATCACTAACAAGGTATCACTACTGTTTCCTATCTTCAATTTTCTAACCTAGAGAGTCATGGCCTCAATGTCTATATCGCCCTAACTAATTTAACCCAACCAGACAGGCTACACAAAAATCTTTTCCCATGAAGTCATAGAAGGAAAAATTTGGGTAAAACACAAATGTAAAGAACCATCCCAAACTGTATGTCTTCGCATATAAAGGCTCTGATCTGGCTAAGAAGCCATTTCCTGTTACAGTAAAGAAAAAACTGACAAGTTTGACATCTATATATATATTAAATTGTAGCCATTTAGAAGTAATTTGTCTGTAATAATAGTAGTATGTTTAAAAAAAACATAAACCATCAATGATTTGAACTTAAAATAGCTACTGGTGTCCAATTATTCAGTAGACTTCTTACAAGTGTATTTGGAAGAATTTTCATTTTGATGCTGACCAGGAATGGAGCAGTTCTGTATAACTGGTGAGTTCCTTGAAGATTTTATAAGCAGAAAATCTATGGAATCTAATCTGTTGCAAATCTGATAGCTGAAAAGCAAATCCCTTCTGAGAAGATAAACTTTACTACTGAAAATATAGATCCAAAAATGCATTTAATGCATTTCATTTAAATCACATTCACTGCTGTAAAAATAGACTGTAAACACACACAAGAGCTTAATTGCTGTCTCACTATGTAGGCTTCTTTATAACTGAGATAAGGGCAGAGAAGACATTAAGACACTTCTCCAAAGAGTGTATGGGTTCTAAAGCAGGGTGAGGAACCAAAGGCCCTGGGACCAAATCCAATCCCCCGAGACTCATGGCTCCCCTGTCCCCCATATAAGAGGTGTGCACCCCCCATGGGGCTGGAGCACCAGCACTAGCTCCTTACCGTAGAGGGGAAGCCCCAAGCCTCGCAGACCAGAGTCAGGCATGCCAGGGCTGGATCCAACCCATAGGCTCTAACTTGTGGGGGAGGAAGCAGTTCTGTGGACTGCCTGGAGGCTTTTCCCCAGCTGGGGTGGTGCTTGGGAGTGGCAGGGGACATGGAGCCAAGTGCATCCCCAGGAAGCAATGCCAGGTAAACACCCCTCATCACTCAGACTAGGGATGTAAGTGACTAGTCAACTATCTGATAAGCAAAAACTTATTGGATAGTGGACAAGGCCCTCAACTAGTCGCTTCCCCCCCATCCCTTGCTGTTTCTATCAGAAGCAGTGTGGCGAGAGTGGGAGTAGGAGCCAGCGCTGGGGAGAGCTGGCTTTAAAGCTATAGCTCCCCCACTTATCAACTAATCGGTGGAAAATCCATCGACTAGTCAATTAGTTGATTAAACTAAATTTAACATCCCTAACCCAGACCCTGTCTCCCCAGCCCGCTCCTACACCCTCCTATCCTCTCAGACCCTCCAACCCCCAACCCATTTCTGCACCCTCCCTCCCGCCCAGACTCCACTTTCCAAGCCGAATTAATGCTCGGCACACACACACACACACACACACACACACACACACACACACACACACACACACACACACAATGAACCCCTCATTTTTGGCCCCACCCCAGATTCTAAGGGGGGGCTCACAAAATTTACTAGTCCAGGCCCCCCCATAGCCTCTGGTGTGTGAGGGGAATGTGGGGCGTGTCTTTGTCCTTCTCAGTTGGGGGCCACATAAGTAAAGTGTATTTTGGTTTGGGGGTTTTTTTGCTTCTCACTTTTGTGCAGCCCACAACTGATTTTTCTGTGGGTCAGTGGCCACCAACCCAAAAAAGGTAACCCACCCTTGTCCTAAAGATTTCATTTCTCCCAAACGAGAGAAATTCAGAAGGCACTTTCACAACCACTGCTTCTTGTGATATTCTGGCAGAAATAAAACCTGGGGGCTACATCTAGACTGCCCCCTTTAGCACAAGAAAATATGCAAATGAGGTGAAGCAATGAATATTGCCGTGCTTCATTTGCATACTTAATGAGCCACCATTTTGCACAAGGGGCTTTTGCACAAAAAGATGCTGTTTACACAGCACCTTTTGCACAAAAATCCCCTCTTGCGCAAGAGCCGTTCTGCTGCTTTTTTTCAGGAAGAACAGCTCTTGTGTGTAAATGGCTCCTTTTTGCACAAAAGCCCCATGCGCAAAAATGATGGCTCATTAAGTATGCAAATGAGGTGCGACAATATTCACTGCTTTGCCTCATTTGCATATTTTCTTGCACAAGAGGGGGCAGCCTAGATATAACTCTGGTGTAATCTGAAGATTAGAAGAAAACTAAAAATGCTGACTAAAGCGTGGAGATTTATGGCATTTACCCGAAAACAGCGAACAAAAAATGTACTTGTGGTAAAATGTAATTGCAAGTTAATTAAAACAAGCCAAATCCAACACTCTGATGCTATGTAACCTTTGCATTGTGGGCCTGTTTCACAGTCCACTGAGGTCTGTGGAAACATTCACATTTACTTCAATCTGATTTGGCCAGGCACCGCAACTGGGTATATAATAAATTATTAGAATGAAACAAATGTTGAATTGTCTATTAAAATACCTTAATAACAACAACAACCAGTCTGATTATTTTGATTTCATTTCCACAAAATATAAAAACATTTTTTTTAATACCTTCACATGGTGAAGCTGGTTGTCAACTGCTATGAGATGGGAAATATTTTCCAGAAGTCCTAATTCTTCTAGTTCATCTATATTATTATTGCTGATATTCAACACTGACAAAGATTTCTGGAAGAAAAAAGAAAAAATATAATTATTTTCTCACATTGCAAAAATGTAATAATAATTCCTTTGAGAAAATTAACCACATTGTGAATTTTGTAATGTTTGGCTGAAATGTGTATTTAAGATGAGGAAACAGGAATACACATCTTTTTATACCAAAGTTAGTCAACTAAAAGGTTAAATCATTTATGTACACTAATATATTTGCTTTTGCCAAAAATGCTTACATTTTAGACAGAAAAGAGATCAAACGACAGATTATATTTTGAAAATTATTCATAAAGAAATGAGTTGCATGTGCAACATGGCAGTTCTCAAATACATGGGAAAGAGATAATCAATTATTGTTATGGTTGGCAGTAAGAATGTTTGACACTCAAATTAAGATGTGGTACTGATGTTGCAGGGGTTTAAAAGGACAGCATATATTTATGCAGGACATATACATTTATCTGGGCATAAGAAAGTACACACTTGCAATCAAAACCTGCCTGCCTTATTCATCAAGTAGTCCCACTGACCCCTTGTAGCCACCTATTTGATATAAGAAAGCATGCCTCTCGCTCCTGGCTGGTGAAGGGAGGGAGCATAAGAGTAATTCATGGAATTCAAGTACTTTCCACTCTCTCCCTGACAGTCAGGAAAATGGGAAGAAAAGCAAGCCACGCCCTGGTATGCATGGCTGCTGCCCCACCTGCTCTCCCAAAATGACATTCTTGCTCAGATCTGTGAAAAAACATTATGCCTGTGTGCTTGCTAGCACCAGACTTAATAGGGCCTTGCTTGTTAGCTGAACTCCTGTCAATCCAGAGAGGCCGTGCAAACTCCTCCACAGTATTTATGCTGAAAATCATGTTTCTGAGGTCATACAATTAAGACAGGCCACCAGGGCGTGACATACTTTCTGCCCAAAAGGACTATCTCCAAGGAAACAGACACTTATTTCTATCTCTTCATGTTTCCTGGGGTTAACCAGGTTGTAAAACAACTTGCTGCCACCTGTCATTAGCATGAGGAACCCTTGTCTGTGCCTAATGGGGGTCAGTTCTCCAACTCCACAAGGCATGTGCAACACCAGCACTCCACTCCAGGCCTTGAGGTGCTGCTATTGTTACATGGCAGATTAGTGATAGGGACACTCTAATCCTAAAGCCTACCAAGCATCTTGCTAGAGCAGGGGTAGGTATTAATTTTTGGCCGGGGGCCACTTAAAATTTTTTTGAAGTGGACCAGGGCTGCCCTGGAAGGGGCGGGTCCTAATCCAGAAGGGGTGATGCCTAATACGGAAGGGTGGGGCTAGAATGCTTCTGGGCTTCCCCACCCCCAGATCATAATTGGTCTGGGGGTGGGGGAACCCGTTTGCCCCCCCTTCCCACTAAGCCCTGGCAGGGAGGGAAGAGGCTTCACACACTCCCCCACCCCCAGGCCCTGATTGGCCTGGGGACGGGGGAGCACACAAAGTCTCCTCCCACCCTACTTCCGCCCTGCAAGGAGCATGCGGCACTTCAAAGTGCCACATGCTGCTTGCAGGGCGGGAAGAGACGTCATGCACTCCCCTGCTCCCAAGTCCTGATTGGCTGGGGAGTGGGGGAGCTGTGCGAAGCTTCCCTAACCCTGTTCCCACCTTGTGTGAGCATACGGCACTTTAAAGTGCCGTATGCTCCTCACAGGGAAGGGTGGGGAAGGCAGGGGAAAGTTTGCACACTCCTTCTGCCCCCGAGCCAATCAAGGCTTGGGGGCGGAGGAGCACATGAAGTCTCCTCCTGCCTTATGAGCAGCGCACAGCACTTCAAACCGCTGCGTGCTGCTCACAGGGCGGGAGGAAGCTTTGTGTGCGCTCCCCTGCCCCGAGGCCCTAATTGGCCTGGGGATAGGGGGAGCGGCAGGGCCTCCGTGGACCGGATCAACTTGCTTGGCGAGCTGGATCCGGCCCGCGGAGGCCCTTTTGCCCACCTCTGTACTAGAGTGTCCAACCCCTAGGTGCCTGGACACTCACAGTACTCACCAAAGAAACATACATCCCAGTTTACCAGTTTCACTTTAGATCACCACTGAGCTTAATTAAAAGCATTTCAATTTATTTATAGTGAAATCAAGATACATTTAATAAAAAATGAAGATTCAAGTAGAAGCAATGGAAACAAATGGTTACATATTTTTTTATATAAAAAAGTTTTTCCTTCTGGGCAACAAAATGATGCCATCATGGTCTCTGGACGCAAAAACCGCCACAGAGGGGGGACTGGAGAACATAGCAACCATGGGGCACAGCCCGCTAGTAAGATAAAATCATAACCCATTCTAGAGCCTAAACTTAATTAACAAGATACTCATGTTTAATAAAGTATTGCTCATCCCAAATTCTTGCAATGCTTTACAGCTAAGCAAGCTGAGACTCTTTTTTCATTACACTTGCAAGCTGTCCATTTGCCTCCTAGGTGAAGGATTCCATGTGTCTTAGAACTCCAAGATATACCAGAACAGTTCTTCATAAATAGGGAACCCTGCTGTTTGTTTCTTCCTTTGCTTTCCTCTCTTGTAGGTTTTGTAATCTCTCAATTTGTACCTGAGTGACAGTGGTGCTTGCAAGGGCTGGAGAAGAATGCTTGTGTTGCACGTGGGGTTCCCTTGTACTAAGGTACAGGCAGCTGAGAGGTGCCTCATAAGCCAGAGGATCATGAAAACATCACAATAACCCTAATTTCCCGATGAAGAGCTAAAACAGAGAAGTTAAGTGACTTGCCTATGGTCACACACCAAGTTTCCAGCAGAGCTGGCATTAAAATTCATATCTCCTGACAGCCACATTCCTTGCTCTAACCACTAGATTATGCAGCCTTCCTTTCAGTTCTATCATAGAATCACAGAATCATAGAATACTAGAACTGGAAGGGACCTCGAGAGGTCATCGAGTCCAGTCCCCTGCCCTCAAAGCAGGAACAAGCACTGTCTAGATCATCGCTGATAGATGTTCATCTAACCTGCTCTTAAATATCTGTAGTGATGGAGATTCCATAATGTCCAATTTATTCCAGTGTTTAACCACCCTGACAGTTGGGAAGTTTTTCCTAATGTCCAACCTAAACCTTCCTTGCTGCAATTTAAGCCCATCGCTTCTTGTCCTATCATCAGAGGCCAAGGAGAACACTTTTTCCTCCCTCTTCCTTGTAACACCCTTTTAGATACTTGAAAACTGCTATCATGTCCCCTTTCAGTCTTCTCTTCTAAAGTAAACAAGCTCAGTTCTCTCAGTCTTCCCTTATAGGTCATGTTTTCTAGACTTTAATAATTTCTTTTGCTCTTCTCTGGACCTTCTCCAATTACAGGCAGTCCCCGACTTACGTGGATCCGACTTACGTCGGATCCCTAGATACGAACGGGGTGAGGCAACTCCCGCACATGCGCAGCAGCATTCCCGGGGCTCGCTCACCTGGGTCCTAGGATCCTCCTCCTCCTCGGGCCGGCTCCGACTGGGGTCCCGCAGAGCTGCCGGGCAGAGGAAAAGTGCCTCCCCACGCCCGCTGCCCCCCCTGCCAGCAACAGGCTCCCCCCTCCCCTGAGCAACAGGCTGCTGAACAGACAAAAGCAGCCTCTCTGCCCCTCCTCCCCTCTATACATGGCGCGCTCCCG